TTTAAATATTTTTCTTATGCCTTGCAAGTGGGAATATGTAACAAATAAAAAGTCGGCTTTGCCACAATTCACAATTTCAATGCAAAAGTGGAAATACACTTAAAACATTTGTAATGTGGTTTAGTTACAGTTGCACTTACCAAGTGTGCACCACTAAACCTGTGCTTTTTCCTGGAGTTGCATGAAGGTGTACACACTGAGACATGATAAACCATGCTTATTGTACTTCAAGAGATATAGTAAAAACACTGTAAAAAATGGTCCCATATGCTTCACAGAATTGTTCACATGTAGTAGAGCGTAATAGGTCATGCCATGGTATGTAACACACAAATAAGAAAAGGAATTCTACAGATTACCTTTCCCATGAAAAGTTCATTTAAAGTGGATTTCCATTTGTGCAGTCAGATTTGAGAAAACCCCTCTATGTTTGTCACGTGTTCCCATTCACACAGCATACCGAAAAAAGTATTTATAGAAATATATATATCTTACTTTTTACATACTGTATTTATTTAGCGAAGACTTTCGTGCAGGTTCTAAGCCACTCTGAGCAGTTTGAATGGGAAAGTAGAGGGTCAGACTGCGGGACAGACTAAGCTTCCTCTCATTAACATACAACACTTCTAAGTCTTTAACCCTTTGTTAGGACAGACAGTGTTCAAATCTAGTTTTCAACTAATAAAATCTGCCACCACAGTACAGACAGGGTTAATAACTTCCTGCAGCCCTTTTCTTAATATTACATGGGGGAAGCTGGGCACAAGCATTTTTTTTAAGCAAAGCACCTAAAAACGTAAGCAGCAATTTATTTATTTTTAAGTTATGCAATGTGAATGGGAACATGTAACAAATACAAAGTAGGTGGGTTCCCAATTTGGCTGCAAAAGTGGAAATGCACTTTAACAGTGATGGCAATTTAAAAAGACAAGATTGTCGCTATGCCCATAGTTAGCAGGCTTGAACACTGTCACATGACTGTGTCACAAAGTTTCTCTGGGTCACTGGCACAGCTGATCTCAGCGCTGGAGAGGAGAAAGCTGCGAGGGAGCACTGGTATGGCAAGTATATAGGGGTCAGGGGAAGCATTTCCAGAGACACTTTCACCTGGCCCTGCATAGGCAAGGTGACAGACAGTCAGGCACTTACAAAATTAACCCTTGCAATGGAGCTACCCCCGCAATGCACGGGATACCTGCATATTTGGATCTAGGGTCTAAAACAAAAAAAAGATTTACACACCTGATCCTGGGTTCTGCCTGGCTGCTAAACCAGTTCCTTCAACCTCTCTCCCCCTCCGCCCCGGCGGTCTAAGGATCTGTAAGTCATCACGTCTAAGGCTGGGCACACACCTTACAACCATCGCAAGACTTTTGTCTTGCGATGGTTGTAAGGTAATAAAAAAAACGTACCATCTGCCTGTCTTGGACAGGCAGAGCGTACTTGCGATGATTGCAAGCCCGCCCCGCTGAAGGGCGCGCTTTCCGATGACCGCAATGCCGAACGGGCAGTGTGCGCTTGCGCACACCGGCCAGTCCGGCTTTTATACCCGCCGAAAATCGTACGATTCTTGGCGGGTTTTCGAACATGTTCGTGAGATAAAAGTCGTGCGACCTTTCAGTAGTAGAGCGGTCTCTGCTGCAGTTTTGAGGTAAGTATATCTTCTTAATTTTAGACCATAGAAAAAAAACAAGCAGTTAGCTCCTGCAGTGCAAGGGTAGCCCCACTGCAAGGGTTAATTTTGTAACTGCCCAGAGTTCTTCTTCTAAATGAATATTACTAATAATTCAAATTCCAAGCTTTTATAAGCATGCTGAACTTTTTACAAGGCTTGGGTACTGAAAGGCAAAGACAGAGAACCATTATCAGGCCATCTATTGAGTTTTGATTTGAAGATTCAGATTTTTTCCCAATTGGATGAAAGCAGTACAGAACACATTGTAGCACAGAGCAGAGTCAGCCACTCTGTACAGTGCTATGAATAGTGCAGGGTTACACAAAATAGCTTAGTGTTTCAAAGGTATACCATTGAATGGAGGCTTGGGGAAACGTAGCCATCCTCTGGACACAAGACTGAATGGCAGAAAGAGGATTGAAAGGAGAAAAACCTTTCCGTTACACTAACTTGCCTCAGTAACTCTACTCAACAGCTTTAGTTTCAGGCACACTGGAGTCCTTGTTGGAAGCCATGTGTGAAGATAATGATGTCTTGTTAGCTACCTGTGGAATGGCTTGCTCTTTACAAAGACCCCTAAAATCTTTCATCTGTCTTGGCACAATGCAGCTCAATTACAATTTTTGCCAAAGGAATAAAAGCGGCTTGTACGTCTCTGTTTCTATCATATTTAACCCATGCAGTACTATCAAGTCACGCACAATCTGTTAGATTTTTTTATATCCTGTTGACAATTGTTTGCAGTATAGTTCTTAGATCATTCACATTAGTGCTAGCCCCAATTAAGGTTACAGTCCCCAATCAAACTCATACACACACTCACCCATTTTGGGTGACATTTAATTACACTACAAGTATGTCTTTGTATATACTTTTTAGAGTGATGGCAGGACGTGCTTGAAAATGTAGCCAGAACTGATCGAATTCTATGCAATTGTCTTTAATCATAACTATTGCATTCAAACACAGTATTTAACTGAGCATGTTTTATGCTTTCTCATCAGTCCTAATAGGTGTCTTTTTAGTAATACCTCTTATTGAATTATTGCTGTAACTGAAAATAATTTTTGATGAGACGTTCAAATTTTTACTAACTTGTCTTTCTATATTTTGATTTCTGTAGTTCATATACAGATTTGTGAATGTTCCCTCTAGTGGTCATCTGAATATAAACTGCATTAATTTCCTCTTTAACGACTTGAGCACTAATGTTACTGCAGCTTTTTTTTTTCTAAATCTCCATTATCCTTTGCCATCTCATGTATATGTTTTATGGTACCTCCTCATGTATCACTTGCCCCCTCCCTTTTAGACTGTAAGCCCTCAGGGGCAGGGCCCTCCTTAATTGCTCTGCTTCCAGACTGAATGACGCTGAGTGTTAGCCACCCCTTCCTGTGAGCCCAGGCTGTCAAGGACAAACTTTCTAGCCTCAGAGGCTAAGCCCTCATTCACACTAGAAAAAGCTGGCACGTACAGCTCCCGGGAAGGACAGGTGCTGCGTGTGATTAGTACGCAGCCCCTATCCTTCTCTATGGGAATATGCGGCTGTACGCCGCCCTACGCTCACCTCAAGTGCAGGTCTGTACAGGTGCGGGTGTCCTGGCTCGGACGCAGACCGTACGGACACCTGCACGGACGTGCAGGGCGGGTAAGCGTAGGGCAGCGTACAGCCGCGTACTCCCATAGAGAAGGACAGGGGCTGCGTACTAATCACATGCAGCACTTGTCCTTCCCGGGAGCTGAGCGATACGGCCGTGCACGCAGCACGGAGCTGTACGTGCCGGCCTTTACTATTGTAAATGAGGGCTAACAGTGTACTGCCTGAATAGATCAGCACTTGCACATTCTAGCATGTGGACTTGTGGGAGCCGATGAGGCCCACCTACAGCCCAAAACTGGAGAGAAAGAAGTAGGAACAGGTGATCACAGTCCCCATTTTTATAATTAAAGTATGTGTACTTAAAGTTATCAACAATTTAAGGTGGTGTACAGGGAGGGAAGGATTTAGATTTTTTGAAAGGGGGGTTATTGTTCAGGACGTTGGGCTTTGAGGTCTTGTCAAGGAGAAACCGTTCTAGCCTCAGTGGCATCCTACAGCCTGGGTTCACAGTGTACTGCCTGGATAGATCAGCACTTGTGCATCCTAGCATATGGACTTGTGGGAACTATTGAGGCCCACCTACAGCCCAAAGCTGGAGAGAAAGAAGTAGGAACAGGTAACGTTGTTCCTGGTCTTATAGTTTAAGTATAGATACTGAACGATATCAACAAATTAATGGTAAGGTACATAGAGGGAAGGGTTTTTTCATTGGTGAGGGGGAGTTGTTAAATAGTTGAAGTTTAAGGTTCACACTATTGCAATCATGGATAGTGCCTGAGTTTCTCTTACATTTCTTTTATCACAATAAAGCTTGAGCCGGGACTCCTTTTAAGCAATCACAGAGAAAATAAACATATATTTATATGTAATGTTTGGGTTCCACACTGGTGCACAACATGCTACATTAAATGTGCAGATACAAGGTTGCATTTTACAACTAAACATAAAAATAATTACAACTCAGTAGACAAGTGTCTTCCCTGCAGGTCTGTCTCAGGTTTCTTATGACTGAAAAGGGAATCTTGTTAACTAAGTAAATAGACAACCAGAACATAGGAGCCTAAATGGCATTTAACCATACCAAAAGCTTGAGGAATATTTGTTTTAAGTATTAAATCTGCACTTTGCACTAAGGCTAAACCTGGGGCCAGGCAGTGCTATTGCATTTAAAGTCTGTTAATATTCACAAAATGTTTTCAGACCTTCGGATTACCTTCAACCTGGTCTCTCCTCATACTCGTGGGTGAAGTAAAAGAGTAAGTAAAAGCAGTTTCAAGAGCTGGCATTGAAGTGTATGTCCCGGCAAAAAACTTTAGGTTTTTTTTTGCTTTGGATAGAGTGGCGAAGGGTTGAATCCCCTACCATGTTTTTACTGCTTTTTCGGGGCTCTGTTAAAGATTTCTCCACTTCAAGTCTCTGTGACAATGGTTTCACCAGATAGGAAGTGAGGGAAAATCGGCAACAGGGACACAGACTGAAATAAAAAATGAATACAAAAAAAACAAAACATTTCTGTATTAATTAAAACATGTTGCCTCACTTCCTGTTGGGAGAAACTGTAGTCAACAGGGCTGGAAGTGAGGGGAAATCTCTCCAACAAAGCCTTAGATAACAATACGTCCTGGTTCACACCAGCTCTTCTTCTGCCCTAAAAAAAGCTCAGAAAATACACCCAAAACAAATTGCCATTCATTTCTATGGCCATGTTCACATCTGAGCGTTTTGTAACTAGAAAAAGTACACAAGCTTTTTTTTTGGCAGAATAAGCACTTCTTGGCCCCATAGACTTTAATGAAACCGCTCGCAAATGGACGTTTGCTGTGTTTTTGCGCTTTTTAGTGCATGTCTGCTCATTTTCATCAATGTGCCACAATCTGCCCTGCAAAAACACGCCTAGAAACAAGCAAAAACGCTGTCAGATAGGTGTAAATCCAGCTTCACATCCAGCAGATGTTCTCATTCTTCCTCAGTCTATCAAAAATAATTACAAAATATTCTGACTTGAAATATAAGTTAAAGTGATCCTGTTATATAGCCAAAAAACTGTTTTTTTTCCATTGAATCTGAACTCTACATTCATACCCATCTGGGATCTGGAAGTTTTATCCAAACCTACAATATACTGGTTAATTGATTTTTTTTAGATGATACCTTTTGTTAAAGCTGCAATTTACCCTGCTTATATATTTCTTCCCTGGTTCACTCTTCCCCTTCATCAATAAGCTAATGAAATTGTTGATTAAAATCTTTCCGTTTCCATTACACATCTTATTTTAGACCCAGTGACATCATTACTGGGTGCCTGTGCTTGTTTGTGCAATGCAGGCAGATCATGGCTGGTGAGAGGGGCCTGCAAGGGAAGCTGTGGTAATGCGATGCTGAGCCTCTATGATTAAAAGAACTAAAATCCAATGATAAACAGGGTAGGCAAGTAGCGCTGGGGAGGAAAGCACCAGACTATGCTGGTCATCCTCCAGACAGGAAATGAGGTGGGCTCTATGTGACTGCCGCTTCTTTGAGAGATGATGCTGGGCATCCTACAAACAGGAAATTAGGTGGGCTTTAAACGACTTGCTGCTACTTTGCTAGGTGAAGCTGGGCATCCTCCAGACAGAAAATTAGGTGGGCTCTATCTGACTTGCTGCTAATTTGCTAGATGATGCTGGGCATCCCCCAGACAGGAAATGTGGTGGGCTCTATCTGACTTGCTGCTGCTTTGCTAGATGATGCTGGACATCCTCCAGACAGGAAATGAGGTGGGCTCTATGTGACTTGCTGCTGGCTTTTTAAATAAAAAAAAATAACTTTCTTTTTTCAAATGTCATTTTCAAGCAGAGATAGATAGATAGATAGATAGATAGATAGATAGATAGATAGATAGATAGATAGGAGATATATCTATATAGATATATATCTATATAGATATATACTGTATCTATATATATTATAGTTTGTTTAACATAAATAAACACTGCACAGTATTTCTGTAAGCTTAAAATCAAGCCTTTTTGTTAAAAGAAAAGAAGAAAAAAGTTATAGTTATAGCTAGCTAGACAGCTACTTGAGGAAGATTCATATCATGATGAAATTCAGAAACATGCAACATGTAGACTGCCCTCCAAGTCATTTTACTGCAAAATGTTTGCCTGGAGTACAAATTTAACATAATATCCCTGGTAAAAATCATAAGTCAAGTAATAACTGCAGTGATTGCAAAATAATTAGGCCCGGAAACAAGGAAAATGACACTAATTGGGGTATATTAAATCAGCAGCTTAAAGGAAACCAATATCTACACCAACAGGAGGAAATTCTAGCAAAATTAAACAGGATGCTTATTAAATGTAAGAGCAAAGGACGGGTCTGATGAGACATAACTGGGAGGTTTGTCAAAACATAATCTAACAGTGACCTAAAAAAAAGATGCTGAATTGTTTGTCACTGCTTTCTGGCAGGCAATCCCAAGACTTCATTCTGCTGTTGAAATACGTTTACATGGTTACATATCCCAGCTTCAGGCCAGGCAATCTCTTGTATAATTCATGTTTAGTGATCATCGCTGAAGAGCTTAGCCTAGAATTCATTTGTATTTGTCATAACCAATTGAAGCTTTAAGAGCTAACAGGTGCGGATCAAACAAGATACCCAGATACCCGTTTCCCAATGTCTTTAAACACTAATGCTCTTGCAAATCTAGTTCCCATATAAAATGTCAAACACAAAAGTTACATTTAAAGATGACCTGTCACCAATTCAATCTCTGATTAAACAGACTGTTTGATTCAATCTGAATTACATTTTTAATTGTAATTCACAGACGCTACACAGACTCTCCACATCTAAATTCTAAAGTCGTTTTTACAGTTTTACAGCTACTGTCTAGAGATTGCTAGAGAGCGTGCACATGACAGATGGAGCAATAAGAAGCTTACAACAGCCTCTATGCACAGGTACAGTTAGACGGGATAGCAAGAGCAACAGCAGAGGTCACTTTAACATAGCTTTACAATTAAGTTTATCTAAAGCCAAATGTGACTTTTCTTCGTTTTGGGTAGGTATGTGAATTGGGTTTTTATTGATGTCTGTGTCCCTCTTAGGCCTGGTTTATACATAGGCATTTTTGAGCAGTAGAAGATAGGGAAGCACCGATACCAGTTTTTCTGTATCGAGTACCGATTTTTTTTTCCTGGTACTCGCCAATACCAAATACTGATAGCGGTGCCATGTGCCCCCGATTATCAGGAAGCTATCTATCGAAAGAACACTGGCTTCATTTGCCGAGGCTGTCTGGCTTTCTGACCAATCAGGAAGCTGGGCGGCGGGCCATGAGGTGCCGTCTGGCTTCCTTATTGGTCAGGAAGCCAGACTGCCTACCAACAAGTGAAGCTGGCTTCCAAAGCTATTCAGGAAGCTGGGCCGCAGGTCATGACCTGCCTCCCAACTTCCTGATTGGCTAGGAAGCCAGGTTCACTTGCTTTAGGCAGCTTGGTTTCCTTACCAATCAGGGAGCCGGGAGGTGGGTCATGATGTGTCGCCTGGCTTCTTGATTGATTAGAAAGCTAGGCTGCCTAGCAACAAGTGAAGTCGGCATCCTAGCCAATCAGGAAGATGGTAGGCGGATCATAACTCGCCATCCGGCTTCCTGATTGGAAAGGAAGCTGGCACCATGCTCCCTCGGCACTGCCGGTCAGAGGGAGATCTCCCTCTGACTGGAAGTTCTGGTATCGAAGGTAAGTATCGAAGCATTTGGGCGCGTACGAGTTTCGGTGCATCCCTAGTAGAAACAGCGTTTCAAAACGCCGAACGTAAAAAAAAACCCCATGATTTCCAATGACCCTTGTTCACGGCTGAGCAGCAAAACGCCAAACACAGAAAAAAGTACACAAGCTTCTTTTGGCAGTTTGCAGCTCACTTTTCCCCCATAGACTTCAATGAAAATGCCAGGAAACACACAACAGAACCGTGCTGCACATTTGTAAGTGCGTTTTTGCTTGTTTGTACGCGCATTTGGCCATTGACCGCAATGTTTTTTAAACCACCAGTCAAAACGCACAAAAAGCTCGCTGAACCCACATGTACAAATGCGCAAAAACGAGGATGACTTGGTGTGAACAGGGCCTTAGGGTGATTTACTCTATCTGCCCAGGTGACCATTGTCACTGAGACAGAAGGACAAGGAAAAAAAATAAATTTTGAGTTGCCACCAAAAAAGGGATAAAGAGGAATAGTTTCAATGGGATCCTGTGTTTTGGTGACAACTGTCTAAAGTAGCAATTCCCTCACTTAGGAGAGATTTTCTCTTGATCCCGTTATATCTACAGGACAAGAAGTAAGGGGACTCAACCACAATGGGACACAGATGGCAAAGAATTGACAGAATGACCAACACTATACTTGTGTTGCTTATAGTCTCCATATGTATATCTGCATATTGTCACACCTTTGGCCCCATTCACATCTGCAAATAGGGCTTAAAGCTTGAGTCTCACGAATTCCTCCTTGAGACTCATGTGATCTGCTGTGGGCAGAAGGCGTTGTGTAATCCAAAGACAGCTGCCAGTGCCTGCAGCTGTTCTCAAGCAATTGCACAGCCTGAAATTACATGTGGGTGACAATACCTGGACGCAGCCATTGGATTTTATGGCGCATCCTGCAGATTGCATGGGTTTCATGAAGGAATTTGTGTGAATGGTGGCCTAATAATAGTGCTACATGCTGAATCGGACTATCTAATGTCTAATGCAATGGTTTAAGGAGCTTCAGCATTGTGCATATTTAGAAATAGTTAAGCATGTGCTTCCACTACAAAATTCTTATTTGCACAGCACGCAGAGGAAGTGTTTCCCCTAGGCTTATCAGTTATGTAATTACAGCCAGTGACCAACTACTTAAAATGGCAACAATACTGCTGCCTTATAGCTTAACTCTACTAGCATATTTTAACAGAAGGTTAACATTTTAACTGCAGGTCAGCAATTAACTTACTTACCATAATTAGATGTTATGCTACAAGCAGTTTACCCCAATTAGAAAGCATTTAATGTCAGAAGTCATATTTTAATGCTGGGCAAAAGGAAAACTATAATGGTTTTGGGTCAATTGTATTTAATTTTTATAATTTAATATGTTTTGAATCATTATAACATCTATATTTTATAAATAAACAAGTAATACAGGGTACAGAACCATGGTACTGATTTTGTAGAATATTATGGTCTTACTGAAGAGCACAGCAGTAGCTTTTTCCCTTTATACTATCTCTCCAACTCAAGCTCTGTATGGAGCAAGAACAGAGGAGTGATGAGGCACTCACCTAACTCATACAGCTATGTGTGCATGTTACTATAGGGCATAGCACTAAAGTAGAGGTCAGTGAGAGGAACCACCAAGAATAGCATGGGACACAGGAGAGTGACACTGCCATGAGTGTTGATTGGATTTTAGAGGAAGATATCTCCTCAACAGAGCAATGCTTGAGGGTGTAGGCAGAGGGAGAGGTAGTTACTCTTTCCTTCTGCTAGTACAGCTCAGTAGACAATTGTGTTTACTTGACAGGTTTGTTTTAATGTGCCTAACATTTAATATTATTGCTCTGTATCCAGCATCCGATGGCTGTAGTAGTAGCACTGCAATACATTGACAGGTGCCACGCTACTTCCGGTGCTACCACAGCTCAGAGAATGCATTGAAAGTGGAACCCTCCCTTCTTTCCCTATGCCCAAGGAGGACAACTGGCA